CAAGTTTATTGATAATTTTAAATACATTAAAAGTGTAGATAAAGTCAGTTTTTAATACTGTAGTATAACAATATTGAGTTTTTTAATAATATATTGGTTTGCTTGATCAAAATATGATTTGTTAAGGTTTTTTTTAAATTGAATAATAGTTGGTTTAGAAATTTGGATAATGTCATAATAGACAATAATTCTGGCTAGAATTGTGAATTACTTGTTTAAGAGAAGATTTTGTTCAATGCTTCTTTGAGATTAAGATTAATAATTTCATTGTTTGTTGCTGCAGATTTAAAGTAAGCTTTAAGATAGCAGTAAAAGAAATAAGATATATATTTAGAATTAGTAGATGTATTGTTTAGTTGGATAAAGATTTGTTCAGATTGGTCAGCTAGTTTATAAAGTTTTTAAAAAGTAAGAGTGTATAGAATGTTGCTAAGATGAAGGTAAAAAAATTTAAAGATAGATATATATATTATTGAATAGATATAGTGTTAAAGGATTGTTTAAAGTAGTAAAAAGTTAGATTGTAGATATTATAAGTTGTTTTTAGATTAAGAATTTTATATTTTTCCAGATTGGTGCAGATGTATATATGGTATCTTGCTGTTTTGGTAGCATAGTTTGTTTGGTCTTAAATAGATCAGATAGTTAGTAGTTCAGGTTTTTGAAGAATTAGCTTTTTGTATTCATTATTAGTTGCTGTTATTATTTGGTATTTAATATAGTTGTAGACTTTTTGTTTATTGATATTGCTAAATTGTTTTTTGTAATGTATAAAAAATTTTTGAAACCAGATATCAAATTGTGTTTTGATTAAATGAAAAGATAGAATATGATAGTTTATATTAAATTCTTGAAGAAAGATATTTATAGTAATATTAATATAAAATTTAGAGGTATTATGAATTTGTAAAATAGAAGTATTGCTTTTTGAAGTATTTGAAATATAGTTTATATATATAAAGATTTTTAAATAGATGGGTTTAAGTTGTAAGTTATGAAAGAATTTTTAATAATCAATGATTTGGTATTGTTATATAGGAATAGATAAAGTCTAATAAAGTTTATAGCAATTTGAAATCATTTTTTAATTAAGTAAGAAGAAATAAAATAAAGTTAAAGAGTTGTTTATAATTAGTTTTATGAAAAAGGGTATAAGTAATTTGGTAAGTCAGTTTTTTGTTGTACTAAGAAGAATTTTGAAAGATATTTTGGTTGCTTTAGTAATATATGAATTTTTGTTTAGAATTGTGTCTATAATAAATTTAGGTTTTTTGATTGCTATAGTTTAGATTAATAAGCTAAAATTATTTTTTATAACTGGTTTATTGATTGTTATAAAATTAATAATTGAACCAGAATAGAAATCTTTAAGAATTGGTTTTAAGAAATCTAATATTTGAATTCCAGATGTTATAAGTGTAAATAAGAAAGTGTTTTTTAAGATAAAATAGCTTTTAAATTAGTTTAAAAGATGATATTGTTAAGTTGTAGTTTATAAATTCATTTTGGAATTGTAAACAATAATAATAAAAAAATATTTAATGTTGTAAATAGCTTAGAACAAAGATATAAAAAAGGTTTTTTAAGAAGTTTATAATATAGGTAGAGTGTTTATAATATAAGTAGCAAAAAAGAACAGATAAAAAAAATAAAAATTAAGTGAGAAAATTAAGTTTTTTGAAATTGACAGTAAGTTTTCTAGAGAACTAGTAAATTTTTCAGATTCCTTTGAGAGAATTTGAAGAAATATTGAGTATTTGAATATTTTCAAGATTGGTAAAAAGTGAAATTTCCAGAGCACCCCTATAAATTTTCTAAAATTGACCAATAGAATTTTAGAAAGGAGTTTGGATAAAAGTTTGAAGAGAAATATCAATAACTTAATAAGTTTTAATTTGTTAAAGATAAAAATTTATATTGAAAAATTGTCTCAATAAGCTGAATATTTTTGTTTTTTTTTGTTTTTTTTTTAGTATCAAGGTGACCTCTTTGGTCTTTTGACTTTTATTAATCACTTATTGGTATTGTAGTTCAATGAACTGCTACAGGAGAGAGTACAATTAGCTACATATATAACTTTTCTATATTACCTATTTAAGGAGTTCACTTAAAGGTTTTCTACCAATTGCTATATCTAATAACCCTTGTTGAGTATTTCACTTTAAACCCTCTGAATCTGTAATCTGTATTAACTTACTGGATTATACCCAGATGCCCAGATCATCGTCTCAACCTTAGAACTAATTTATCCTCAAGATAAACCCCCTAGAGCCTTCTGTATCCATTTTTACAGCTAATTTAGATATCATTATAGCAGAACCAACACTTGTAATCAGGGCTAACCATTAAACTGTTATGTCCTTGTAGAGTTCACTTAGATCTCAGCATCTCCTTCACAGCATAATCCTGTTACTTTAGTATACTCTTGCCTTTTTACCTGCCTTTTTACCAAACTTCTAATCCAGATAGCCCATATAGGACTATGATCAGTCTATCAGTATATTAAGTCGGCCTGATATCCTTTTCCTCCAGTTTGTTTCAGCAGCCTGGTTAGTGGTACCTTCAAGACTTTCCAACCCAAAGGTTCTTGCCCATCTGGCTGCTATAACTGGATACTATGATCTTGGTATCTGTTTCCTCAGGCAAGCCTTTACAGTAGGGTCATTGAAGATCCAGCTACCTCTCTACTCAGGTCTTCTTAAATAAACTTCATGTTACCCAATTTCAACAGATTTACACAGTCACAAGGACTTATCTAGTGTTTGTACTGCCTGATTTGTTAGTTTGCATTTCTCTGTGTAATGTCATACTTACACAGATGCCCCATGACCTGCCAGTTATGCTGGTGTGATTGCTATTACAGGTATCCTAACTCAATTATTAGTAACAGTTGCCATAATATAAATATTACATAGGTGATTATCTAAATTTTTTACTGTCAATGGGATTTAAATATCCAACCTACCACTTGGGAGGTTGACAACCTGATCACTTTACTAGGTCACCACATCCCAAAGCTGGATATTTTTGTTTAATAAGAGAAAATAAGTTTGCTTAGTAAAATTTGATAGAAATTAAGAAAATGTGTTTTTTAGAAAATGTTAGTTAGTACATAAATATAATAATTTGAATTTGATTAAATTAGTATTGTTGGAAGCAGAAAGTTTAGTATACTTAGTTTACTTGAAAGTAAAAAAGTTTAATTAAGTATCAATTAAAAAAATTTAAAAAGAATATAAATAAAAATAATTTTATTAAAATGTAAAAGTTTGTTGTATTAAAAGATTAAATATAAATAAATTTGTATTGTTTTTAAGACAAAAAGTTGTAAAGAAAAAGTTTAATTAAAAGTTTAAAAGCTGTTAGTTTAGCAAAATATTAAAAAAAGTTAAATTGTTTATTAAAAAATATTAGTTTTAGTGATTTACAAAAAGAGTTAAATAATTGGCATCAACAATTTTGTTTCTATAATCTATTAAAACTATTAATCAAATGTGAAGCTTTGTAAAAAATTCAAGTGCTATATAAATTTAAAACAAAAAAAATTTTAAAAGAAAGCTTAATTATGAAGTGCAAGCATTATATATAATAGCAGTATTACAGAAAGTTATAGTTATAAAGATTGCATATATAAGTTCCTAAGACTAGAGAGTATTAATATTTTTATACTTTTTAATACAGTACCAAACAGTGAAAAATATTCACTTTTTTATAGAGACACCAAATTTAATCCAAGGCTGGACAGCAAAAAACATCTAATTTTTTTTATAAAGGCACCAAATTTATTTATGGTAATACAATTAATGATTGGGTAATTACTTTTTGCATGATAAACCTAGCTCATATTTCACATATCACAAAACAATAAAATTAACTTTTAATAACGTTCTCACAAAAAATTGTTCATTCTCTGTAATTTTATCTTTTACCAAGAATAAAACTGCACTAGTTATATTAGGTTAGGGTTAGAAAGAACTTAGACCTAATAGTAAAATTTCACAAGAAACATTTTTAATTAACTGCAAAAAGTAGTTTCTTAATTAAAATTTTTTTGCTTCGATTGTTTACATTACACCTGATCTTGAAATTTGACTTCCTGTGCACTATACTAGAGGTTGTACCCATGAAGAAATAGTTCTTTAATTCAAACAATTATGCGTGAATTCAAGTACTTGATAATGACCTTTCTGAATTTTCTACCTGGGTAATATTAAATTACTCTAGTAATTTATTATGATTATATAATAGATTTGTTTATCTGGATCAATCTCTATACTGTATCTTGCAACAGTTTTAGAAGCAAAATTTTGATTTATACCGAGTACCTAAGTATGATATTATCATACTTCTGTATCCAGAGAAAATATAATAAAACATATTTATTCATACAGTATTTTTATCAAAATGCATTTACTAATCACTGATATTAAAAATTTATTTTGTGCAAGGATATTAGCACTTCACGCATGGATATATTACATTCGGAATTAGAGATTATCTTATACAAGAAAAGCCTTGTATATATTTGTGCACTTCATATAAACCATGTAATAAATAGATAAATTAGTTTATTATGTCACATGATATATATTATTTTATACAACCCTGCATGACATTGCAGTTTGAGATAAAACTGTACTTATTTCTACCCAAGATAAGTTCTGATTATTTAGCAAAAATCTATTGTTTTTAATGCTTAATATGAGAGATTGAAATTTTTAATCAGGTTAGATTTTAAAGACTTCCAAAATCCCTACTATTAGAATTGATTTATTTTATTTAAAACAATACCAGTCAACTTATATGTGATATAATGACCAGGAACTAAAATATCTAGTATTCATAAGTTATAATTTTTAAATAAAAAAAACAAAAAAAAAGAAAAAAAAGAATAACAAAAAAAAAAAACAAAGATAAAAAAGAATAAAAGAAACAATAAAAAATAAAAAATAAAAAGCCTTACAATCCATATAGATGACAATAAATAAAGCCAACTCCTTTTACTTTAAAAACTTGTTAATTTGATTCATAACCTCCTCATTAATTGATCTATACTTTCTATTATTCCTGACAGCATATTCTGTCATTTTCCCCATCAATCCATGCTGACAAGCATCCATCCATTTATAAGATAGCCTAGCAAAAGAATGGATTTTTTCTACAGAAATAGAAGTGAAAGCCTAATAAATTAATTCTTTAGTTTTTGGAAGTAAATATTTACAATAGAACTAAGTGTACTTCTTAGCCATCCTCTAGTACATTTCTATGTAGTTGAATTCAGGGTGAAACTTAGAATAGAATAAAACCTTATGCCCATAAGATTTGATTTCTTGCTGAATTTGGCTGCGTTGTTCAAGAAAATCTGGCTAATTTGAAATTAATCGATGTGCACAGCAATCAATAACATCTGGAATTGGATTTTTTTTTTTACATAAAGCACATTCGAGCACAATTCCATCTTTCCATAACCCTCTTTCACTAAGAATCCATTGGATACCTTTAGGTTGCCCATGCAGATTAACATATGTCTTTTTTTTTTTATCATGAATCAAATGATTGTTCGCAATAATCATTGATTAATGATTACTATTCTATGTTATATCACGCATTTTTGAAACAAATCCACCCAGTTCAAGGTTCATTTTTGAAGCCACAAGAGCATCTTCAGAAAAAGCTTTATGAGATATAGCATTATCAAAGAGAAATATACCAACACACCCCAGGTGTGTCTGTTCAAAAATGCTAACTGCCTTTCTAACTTGCTCGATAAGTTTTTTGGAATTCCAATAACCATCTCGATTTGCACCCAAAACCTATATATTAAAAAAAAAAAATAAAACTAAAATTAAAATTAAACTAAAAAAATAAATGAATTAAAAAAAAAAATTAAAATTATATTATCTTTTTTTTAATTTTTTTTTTTTAATTTTAATTTTAATTTTTTTTTTATTTTTAATTTTTTTTTATTTTAATTTTAATTTTTCTTTAATTTTTTAAAAATATTCTTAAAAAATAAAATTCTCTGACCATCATCAAACTGCTTCTTCTTGGTCGTCTTTAAGTGGCCCAATAGTTTCTGTCAAAAAATCGCTTATATAGATAGCAGAATCTAATCTTTTTTTTCGTAATGGCTGCTCTTTTTCCAGGCCCTATACAGAATGTGGACCATCATAGGTATAGAAGGTAGTTTCATCGTGGGTTACCTATACATGCTCCTTTTCACCATTTTCCAAATCTGGGTAGATTTTTATCCTACATTCTGGGTCAACCCACTTAGACATAAGTTGTTCAAGCTGAACAACCTCTTGAAGAAATGTTTGACGATATTCGACAACATCAGGATGTTCATGTCCATTGACATATACACTTTTTTTGTAATGCTAATAACGAAATCCAAGTTTGTGCATCCATCTCCAGGCAGTATGAACTGAAATGCATTGCACAGACTTAATGTTCAACTGAGGAAGGATGGTTTGTTCAAAATAGTCCTTAACTATAATGGGATCTATGTTGAACTTCTGGGAGTGTAGATAAGCAGCCAACTCGAGGGAAACTAACTTGTTATAAAGCAAGCTTTTTAAAAAAGATCTTTTTCAAAGGTCTGGTTGGATTAATTCCTTCTTCATGCAGATATTCGCCTACTTTCTTACACACTTAGCAAGTCATAGCCTACTATCAATCACATCGGAAACCATTTTAGCTGCATTCATTTTTTTTTTGACCTTTTAGAAGCAATCTATAGAAGTAGATCACTACTGTGTAATGTGCCTCTTTGGTTTTGGAAAACATTTCTTCTCTCATTACATTGTCGATGAACTCAATTGCGCTATGGATTTTTTTTGTTTCTTCATCCAATTCTTCACTCAAGTTTTCATCCAATTCTTCATTCAAGTTTTCTTTATCCTATTAATTAACATAATTACTCCTATGCCAAATACTAATTTTTTTCAATATAGCTTTCTTACCTGATATTCTTGACTTTGAAAGTCTTCAGTATCTTCTTCGTAATTGGTAGTCGAAAGTTGATTGTTAAAAAAATGTGAAATTTTTAAACTTCTTCTTGCTGCTTCTCTAAATGCTTTATTTTTTTTTTGTCATGTTCGTTTAGAATTTCCAATATACACATAAGGATGCTTTTTTTTTGATACCTGCTACCAAAGCAGCAAAAAGTCATTCGATAATTGAATTTGCTTGGTTATGGTTATTTAGCTTAAAATTCTTATCTGAACTTTTATCAGAATTATTGCTGGAATCAATATACTCTTTACTTGAATCAAGATCAACATAATTTGCAAGCAAGAATGAGCTACCTCAGCTCTTTCTTTCTGTAGTTTTTTAATGTTTGCAAGTTTGGACATTGTAATAAGAGATAATTATAAAGTTTCATGAATTTTTTTTTTTTGTTCAGTTTCTTATTTTTATGTTGTGCTTTTATTGTATCAGAGTTTATAGGAAAAAAACTGATAATCTAAAGTCTATGGTGAGTAACAATTACTATGAAACAGGACTGGGATCAATATTTCATATTCATTATTCAAAATCGACTGGTATGTGGGATGAAAAATCCAACTTTCTCTTACAATTGCTTGCCTATTTTATATAGAACCAATTCACTTGATTTACTTGACGATGGGAAAATTATGATTTTCAAATGTATTAAGTTACATCTTTACCTTCTGTATAACATTATATGAACAAAATAACACTAGTATGTACGCATGTACATATATACACACTGGTTTCTTTAACCTCACTCAATAGAAGATATGTAAGTACGTACATACGTGTGTACCAGTATGTTTGCTTGATTTTTCTTTTTGAATAAAAGACCAACCTTTATTATATTTTCTTTATATACTTCCGTTGTCATTATCAAACTTTATTTAACTTTGTCACTGTATTATTATTTTTATGATACACATGATCATAATCATTAATAAATGTATTGTTGGTTGATTGATTATAAGTGTTCACCTATGCTATAAGAGATCCCATGATAGTAATTCATATGTATAATTATTGCACACTTTATTTTGCATAGTTTCTTCTATGTACTGTAACAAATATCTTGCATATTTTTTTATGCACTAGGATTGTGTTATGAAAGTTAATACATATGTTTAATTTGGTTAATATATACCACTTATCATTATGATTTATGTTAACATTAGCTAATAAAATTTTACGCACATGATCAAAAATCGATTTGATTGGCTGATTTAGGTTGTGCCAAATTTCTGCCTTACTATAAAAGTTAGCAAACTTTAATCCATTATAACTTTTTTAAAACATGAAATTTTAAAAATCTGTTTTACAGATTTATAGTTTAGATTATACTTTATAAATTTGTAAAAGGATTTTTTAATATAACAATTTGTTATTAAGTTATTAAGCTTTAAATAAACTCAAATAAAGAGGATATTTTTTACTGTCTGGTATTGTATAAATAGTATTAATATTTTTATATTAATTTATAGAATATTTGTTTAAAAAAATAATTAATAAATTGTATAAATAAGTTCTAATTGAAATTTAAAAAAAGATTTGATTAAGAGAATAACTTAGAAATAGTTAAAACTAAAATGTTAAAAAAAGTAACAAATATAATGATAATTTGTAATAAAAAATTGATATAACTAAAATTAAAAGCACTTTGGCATAGTTAAATAATTTAATTATAAAAGAAAAAGTTTTAAAGATCAATATATACTTTTTTGTAAAAAAGATATCAAATCAGGTCTGATTGTATATATAAAAGTTTATAATAAATAAGATTAAAATCAACTAACTAATATAAAATAAGATCTGTAAAATAAAATGACATTATTGAGATTAGTGTAATTTTTTAAAAATATTCAAAATTGTTTTACAAGTATTATTAAATAGTTAAAAATTTGCAATATATAATAATATAGTATTAGTAAAGTTAAAGAAACTTTTTAAGTTTAATTATAATTTTTTTATTTATAAATATAACAAGTTTTAGTTTTTATTATAAAAAGAAGTATCTTGTTAAAAGTAAATTCAGCATTAAGTTACTATATAACATTAAGTTTTAAGACATTTGTAAAAATAATAATAGCAAACTTAACTTGGAATACAGATTAGTCAAAAAACTAATGATAACAGCTAGTTTAGCTTAAAATAAAAGTTTATTATAAATTCTAAATCATTATCAAAAATGTTAGAAAAACAACAATAGGTATACTAAAAATAAAAGATTATAAAAATTAAATATATCTAAATAGAACCAATTTGAAAATAATACAATAATAAAAAAATAAGAAATATAAAGAACAAAGTATTACTAGATATAATTAAATTAGAAAGTAGAATAAATAAGATTAGATAAAACATATAAATAGAACATATTAATATTATTACAGAAAATAGTATTTCTGACATTAGAATATTATATTAAGCTAAAAGATATTCTTGTTTGTTTAATAAATTAATGATAAACTCTAACTGCAAATATATATCAAAATAATTGCATATAAGCATATAGTGAATACAGACTTAGATGTTATATAAATAATTTTTTTTTTTTTGTTAAAAGCTATACTTGTGATAATACTTTATTGACTTATATTGGGTTAACTATTACAACTATTTTTATAAAAATAAGAGTACAGCTAGTCACATATGCAACTTTTGGTTGCCTATTTAAGTAGTTCACCCTAAGGTTCTACATTAGATACCATATCTATAACCTACTAGGAGATTATCTATTTAAACTTTCTAATCATCTGCTCTGTCATATTGAAATCTCTAACTTACCCCTATATATACCTAACTGGTATACCATCTAAGCAGTATGGTTATCTATCCTTTTTGTACTATTTCTCAGACCATTACACATTTCAGAATACATCATTTGCTAGTAAGATGCAAGAGGCTCTCTGTTGTTAATTATCTATCTACTTTTAGAACACTAACACAAGCTATTCTTACAGAGTTTATCCAGACCCTAGTACTGATTTCACAGCATATTACTAGTACTTTTAGTATATCTCTGCTTTGAATTCAGACTCCTAATTTAGATAGTCCAGAAGGACTGTAATCTGTTCTTGGTATATTGAGACTGGCCCAATATTCTTTTTCTTTGGTTCAAAATCCAGTGGCCTGGTTGATAGTACCTCTCACACAAGGTTCTTGCTTGTCTAAATTCTCTACATTGATATTCATTTCTTAGGTCTAGCCTTTACAATAGTACTATCAAAGATCTGTATTACCTCTCTGCTTAGAATTTTCAAATAAGCTTTGGCTTCTCAGTTCTATGGATTTACATGGCTTGAAGACTTATTTTAGGTTTGCACTGCCCAGTACCAGTTTGTATTTCTCTGTGTAACAGGTTACACAGATGCTCCAAACCTGCCAGTCATGCTGGTGTAACCATAGTTACAAGTATTCTATCTTAACTAATTGACAGAATGCTGTTGCTATAATACCCTCTATATATTATATAGGTGATTATTCAAATTTTGCTATCAGTAGGTTTTGAACTCACAACTTACCACTTGGGGGTATGACAACTTATTCACTTTACTAAGTCACCATACTCTATATAAATAATTAAATAAAGTTAATATAATAAAAATAAAATAGCTAATATACAGTAGTACTAGTAATAATTAATTTTTTAAATATAATTATAAAATTGTATTATATAAAATTAGAATTTAATAAACTAACTAGCAGTATTGTTAAAGTTTAAAAAAAAATTATATATATAATATAAATTAAAAGTATAAAAAAGGTTAAAAAAACTCTTTTCTGTTCACATCAGATCAGGAAAGATAAATAAAAATAACAATTATAAATTTAACAAAAAGAAATCAAAACTTATCAAATAAGATACTAAAAAGAGCCAGAGCCCTTGTTCCAAGAAAAAAAAAGCTTTCTTAAAGAGTTGAGCTACTGTTAACAGAAAAAACCTTCAAATTACAAAAACTGTATTTTGAAAAAGAAGAAAACATAAACAACCTTCTTGTTGAAAAAATGAATAACACAGATACTAATTATACTTTAATAGCTCAAAAAATAATGAAACTAGCAAGAAATGAAGAGTTGATACCAGTAGTAGTAGTTTAAAATGAAGAAGACTAGTTAAAAACATAATACAAAATAAAAAAAGTGCTTGGGCTTTAGAAAACATGTCTAGATATAAAAATAAAACAGGTGATCAAAATGAAACCAACAACAAAGACAGTTATGTGCCAAACACAACAGCTGAAACACATGTTATAATAAAATCTTAACCTGCAAGCAAAGTTACTCAAAGCTATGTCTCAGTAACCAAATAAGGCATGAACTTGACTGCTAAACTAAAAAAAAAAAAATTATCCTTTGTTGCTTTCTCATCTAGAAACCAAGTTAGATCTAAAAACAACAATATACTAATTATAGAAATCTTTAGCCTTCATAGTTCTTTTAATAAAATTATAGCTTCTTTATATGAAAAACTAGGAAGCTGCCAAACAGTATTTTAGAAAAGACCTGAGATTCCATCTTGAAATTATGTTTTTAAACCAAAACTGACTGGCATACCATGTCACTAAAGGAGTTAAAATCTTTAATAAAACTTATTATAGATATATTTATACAGATGCATGCAAGTTCTTTCTTTTAGTCAAAGTAAGAAATGTTCCCTTAGGCACCAAAGAACAAGTTTCTATACTGGTTAAAGAAGCATTTGAAAATTTTAGTAAAATTGCCTTGATTAAACCATTGCTTATCAAAGGTACTTCATATATAACAGACTAATAGATAGTTATTTTTGATAATACAGAAGACTCTAAGCTGAAGCAAAGATTCTCTTGCTTCATATACATTGAAGACAACAGAGTCACTACTGAATAGAAGAAAGTACTAAAGGTGTGCTACTTCTGTGATCAAACAGACCATATTAAGAAAAATTGCTTACAATTTCAAGAAGCTAAGAAGTTAAGACAACACTTTCAAAATCTTAAAAACAAAAAAAAGAACCTAGCTAAGACACCAGAGAAGGTCATTGCAGAAAGCCAAATGGATACAGACAAGAAACATGCTACAATACAAGAAATAGTAAAGAACAACATTGCAAAAACAGCATTCAATTAAGAACAAACAACTAAATTAAAAGAGAACCTTGTTATAGATAATATGAATGCTAAAGCAGAACTACTTGCAGACAATAAGCCAATTGTAGACACTTGTCCTACAAATTCAGTCCTAGAAAATGTAGATACAAATTAGAAAGATGATTATATAATTAATTAAGAAAATACAAAAAATATAGCATTCACATTAGTGATAAGAAAAAAAAACACAAGAATGCAAAACTCTACAGTATAGCCAATAACAAAAACCAGAATAA